TTTTATTTCTTCCCAGTCATCACCTGTGACAATTATGTCGTCAACATAAACAATGAGGATAGCAATTTTGCCACTATCGGAGTGTTTAAAAAATAAAGTGTGATCAGTCTGAGCTTGGATAAATCCTCTTTCTTTAACAACACGAGTAAACTTTTCAAACCACTCTCTAGGGGATTGTTTAAGTCCATAAAGAGATTTCTTCAACATGCCCTGTTCAAAACCAGGTGGTGGATCCATGTAAACTTCCTCATGTAAGTCCCCATTTAAGAAAGCGTTCTTTACGTCCAATTGATGCAAGGGCCAATCAAGGTTGGCAGCAAGTGATAGTAAGACTCGGATAGAGTTAAGTTTGGCAACGGGAGCGAACGTCTCCTGATAGTCTATCCCATAAGTCTGAGTAAATCCTTTGGCAACCAATCTGGCCTTATATTTGTTGATGCTGTTATCTGCATTAAATTTTATTGTGAACACCCATTTGCAACCTACAGTTTTCTTTCCTCTGGGAAGTGCCACGGACTCCCAAGTTCCATTTTTTTTAAGAGCATCCATTTCTTCAAAGACTGCATCCCTCCATTTAGGGTCATTAAGTGCCTCTTGGATATTTTTTGGTATTTTTGTACCGTCTAATATAGTGTTGAAAGCACGAAAACCTGGAGATAACTTTTCATATGAAATGTGATGAGAAATAGGATGAGCAGTGCAAGATCTAGTACCTTTTCGATGGGGCACATCTAGGTCAGGTGTACCAGTGTTCTCAAGTGGATTGCTGGAACTAGGACTCGGGTCAGAATCCTGGCAGTCTAGAGGATCTTGAGGAGATTTTCGCCTACTGTAGAATTTTTCCCATTTACCGGGAGGATCTCCAGTCTCTGGTACAATTTCTGTCCTTGTCTCCTGTACATTAACTCCCCCTGACTCCAAAGGTAAAGAAACAACAGATGTTTCCAAGGGTAAAGGTAAGACAGTAGAATTATTTGGATTCCAAGACTTGTCTTCATTTATACCAATAGACTTCCCCTGAAGAGAAGTCGAGGGAAAAAATGATTGTGTTTCACAAAAAGTAACATCCATAGAAACAAAGACCTTTCGAAGAGAAGGTGAGTAGCACTTGTAACCTTTTTTATTAGGAGGATATCCTATGAAGACACATTTAACAGACTTATGATCAAGTTTGGACCTTTGATGTGGAGGAATATGAACAAAAACCACACAGCCAAACAACTTTGGAGGAAGGGAAGAGAGAGCCTGGAAGGAGGGAAAAGAGCGGGTAAGGCAAGATATGGGAGAATGAAAATTCAGGACGCGAGAGGGCATCCGATTGATGAGATATGAGGCAGTCAAGACAGCCTCCCCCCACAGGTATTTAGGGATATGCATTGTAGACAAGAGGGCTCTAGCAACTTCAATGAGATGTCTATTTTCCCTTTCAGCCACCCCATTTTGTTGAGGGGTGTTAGGACAAGAACTTTGATGGATAATACCTTGCTTGGTTAGGTAATCACCAAGAACAGAATTAAAATATTCAGTACCGTTGTCAGTTCGCAGGATTTGGATAGAGGTCTGGAATTGAGTTTGTACCATAGCATGAAAATTTTTAAAAGTGGCTGCAGCTTCAGACTTATCTTTTAGAAGATATACCCAGCATACTCTAGAATGATCATCAATAAAGGTAATAAACCAACGAGTTCCAGATATATTTTTTTCACGAGCTGGGCCCCAAATATCACTATGAATCAATGTAAATGGAGACGAAACATGATAATCTCTAGGGAAATAAGAAACACGAGAGTGTTTTGCAAACTGACAATCATCACAAAAAAAGGAACTTGGTTTTTTGTTGATAAATAAGTTTGGAAGCAGCTTTTGAAGATAAAAGAAATTTGGGTGTCCTAAACGACGATGCCACAACAAAACATCATTACAATCGTCTGATAAACATAAAGAGTGATTTGCAAAAAATCTCTTTTCATGAGAATCTTCTTCAAAATAGTAAAGCCCTTCTTCCTCTCTAGCACTGCCAATCATCAGCCTCGAATCCTGTTCTTGAAAAACACAGGTTTTGGCAGAGAATTTAGCAACACAATGCAATTCAGAGGAAAGTTTACTAATAGAGATAAGGTTACAAGTAAGAGAAGGGACATGAAGGACAGAATTCAGAGTAATATGTTCAGAGAGCTTAATGGATCCCTTTCCCGCAATATTAGAGAAACTACCATCAGCCGTCCTTATTCGTGACTGGTGATAATAAGGGGTATAAGAACAAAAGAGGGATGCATTACCTGTCATATGATCAGAAGCTCCCGAATCAAGAATCCAACGACTACTATGATCAACATGGAATGCCATACCTTGTTGAGCAACATGACTAGTTGTCTTAGCAGATTGAGACATCACCTTCTGAAATTGCTCATAATTCTTACCGTTTAAACGGTGGTTAGTAATCTGTATAGCTGGGTTGTCTCCGGAAGACGAAGAACAGGGAAGAGGAAAGACACCGGAAACATTACCGGATGATTTTTCAGAATGCTTATTCTCAGCCTCAATATTTTCAACTTCCATTGTTCAAAATAAAAAAACAAAAAAGGAACTCCAATCGTTCAGAACTGAAAAATCACGAAGAGGAACCAATTGGACCCAACAAGAAGAGTGCTCCAATCGTGATTTAAACCCCCAGAACAGGAAGAGGAAGGCCATGTGAGCCGTTCTGTGAAAGCCGCGTGACAAACGGAGGCCGGCAGGGCGGCGCGTGGCTCACACGCGCCGGAGAGGCAGTTCTGCAGTGGCGGCGCGTGGCTGACTTTCCGGCGACGGGGCTGACGTGGGTCGACTCGGAAATGGCTTCTGAGTCCAATGGTGGCCTTGGTTTCGTGATTGGAGGGGTCCAGATATGGTTTCTGAGTTATTTTAATAAACAGTGAAAAATGGAAAACGGAAGGAAACGTGAAGGTTTACAAGATGACCACAGGATAACCTGCTCTTGATACCATGATGAAATATAAGACTGAAATGTATTTTTTTCATATATTGATTGACACCCAAAGGGATCTTTATATACAGATTACAAGGTAGTTAAGGAGTTGAAGTAATAAATAAAATACACAGTAACCGAAGAGGCATCACACTACTCAAAGGAACAAGTAGCTAGAAACAAGTAGAAAACTCTAGAATATTCTACACCAGTAAATGTGAAAATTACTAAAATGCCCTTAGGACTGAAGTTCAAAATTAAATAAAGTAAAAACTTATTAAGGCTAGTAACCCTAAATAACAGTGATCCATTAGCCTTGTGGGGGGTAGTGCAGTCAGACCCAAAACAAAATAAAACCGAAATTATGTGATTATTCATTTATTTGATATTTAAGCTTAAGCTTTCTTGATGATAGAATGCCCTGCATATTAGTCATATTAAATTTGATTTCTGTATATGTATAACATTTTTTACTCTGTTTTTTTCACTGTTATATAAAATTTTAAGTTTCCTTGAAAACCTGTAATTTTTTTTATTATAACATACCATTTTTTTAAAATACAAAACTATATTTTATTGGATAGAATTAATTATACAGTCTGATAAAATATGTTCTTCTTGCTCAACTAGGCAATTGAAAAAAGAATTTCTGTCTATTCTCAAGTACCAATTGAACATGGAGAGCCTATGCAAGTCCTGAGGTGAGGATATGACTTATTTTTTATGTTATATCTGAACAAGATGGGTTTTGCTAGTATCAAGGCTAACATGTGCAGCAGCACAGGTATGAGAAGAATCAGTTTTACAAACCACATCATGACTATTTTTCTGATACTGTAAGTTGTATTCCTCTCTTTGCTATTTTATTATTACAATAAGCACAAGAATTGCCTTGAAATGGCTTCAATGAAACCATCTGCAACCCTTTGTGCTTTTCTTTTTTTTGAGACAGTTCAACTTGAAGCGTGGTGGGCAGCGAGTAGCTACAATGCTACTGTATTTAAGTGACAATGTTGAGGGAGGGGAAACATATTTCCCAGTGGTAAGCTTCTTGTTTTCTGAAATTTTTCATTTAGCACGTTTTGGTAGTTGCTGTAGATATTGTTCTGAAGCATATGAGTAGCCTGAATCTAAAGCAATTATGAGGTTGCAAGTCGATGCCGGAGTTGTGTCTGAGAATGTGTTATATTTTGTTGACTAACAAAAATATCTTTTGTTCTTCAGTTTCTTTGTTTAGATCCTAGAACTGTCAAAATTGTGTTGTATGTCCCCTAGCTTTGTTGAAATTCTTATTCTGCATTCTCATTTATAATTTATTAAATTTTGGCTCCTGTGAGTTTTGATAGTTGCTAAGAAATAGAAAGCCAAATGATAATGATGCCATGATTATGTGTACTACTCAGACTAGTTATGTTACTCTTATAGACTGTTTTCCTGAATTACGGTATTTGTTGATTCTATTTGGATTTTACCTTCAACATGAGAAATAGGCTCAATTTGTAATATGCTATTATTTGCTATCTATTCTGTGGTATGTGCGCTAGTATTAACTATCTGACATTCTAGTTGGGCTTTTTGACTGTACTGAAGGCTGCTATTGATAATATGCAATGCATTTTAGGCTGGTTCAGGTGAATGTAGCTGTGGTGGGAAATTTGTCAAAGGGCTATCAGTGAAACCAATCAAAGGAAATGCAGTGCTTTTCTGGAGTATGGTTAGTATAATTAATTTGCTTGTTAGGGACATCATTCATGGGAATTATGAAATAGGAGCAGCTATCTATTGTCATAATTGTTCTAGTACTTTTCTTATGTTTTTAAGACTGAATCTTTAAGCACAAAAGAGGGAGAGAGTATGTGTCATTATTAATAATTGTCAAACCAAGTCCTTAAAAATACAATAAAATATGGGCTCATGCCATATTCATTTGTGGAATTTACTGTAATGTCTCATATCACAAACGAAAATACGGAAATATGTTTAAGACCATATGCATCTTCTTAGATCAAGGGAGCCTTTTTTGTTTTCTAAGAACGGCCTGCTTTAATGTCCCACTTTTCTTGTGTATTTACATGTTGCAATTTGAAATTTATTTCATCAATTGCAATTTCATGCCCTCCTGCCTTGTTCTATATCACCACTGTCTATCTTTTTCACCTTTTTTTTTTTGTTTGTTTCAACTTTCAATATATACTCGTTGTAATAATGCTGTTAACTCTAGCTGGTTCAGCAATAGGGCATCGCTACTATTCTTGTCATGATAGAAATATTATCTTTGCCGTGAGTATTGAATCACGGGGAGTTATAATTCTTTGGGCTATGCATTTTTTAAATGAACCTTTACAGTGGAAAGTTGTTTTGCCAAATAATAATCACCTTTTAAATGTCTGCTTGGTCTTCATAGGGACTGGATGGACAGGTAGATCTGAATAGTGTGCATGGAGGATGTGAGGTACTCTCTGGGGAGAAGTGGTCAGCTACCAAGTGGATGAGGCAGGGATTTCTCCCCTCATATTCGTCCTTATAAAAAAAATAAGTTTGATTAGTTATTGGTAATATAAATATTTGATAGTGGTAAAAGCTTCAATCAATAAACTACAGCGTAGTGTGATATTATTATTTGCGCCGGGGATGGTTTAGTCTATATCATTGTGTATCTTTGCGACCCTCTTTTTATTCTAGTTTCTGGTAGATCTAGACATTTTATCGGGATTATCATTGGTCTTGGTCACAAGAATGCTTTAAATCGATTACGTCCCGGTAATATATTCCGCAAAACTAATCTGTTTGTAATGATTTACGAAATCCTTTTTAGTTTAGAGGATGAGAACTTTGGCGTAAGCTACATAATTCATTAAGACAGTTTATAAACAAAATGACCTCTACTTGTGTTACAATAAATTTTATTTCGTTTGTATGATTGCAAAACTCAAAATCATTGAAACTAACTCCACAAAAGTTAATGAACGTGGAATTGAAATATACAAGAATAAAGCACATGCCTTGTAATTTATTTTAAAGCGTTCTCCATCATGTCTAATAATAATGTCATCCTTTTCATCAGAGAAGGCAACATCACTCCGTTAGTGATAATAAAATCTAACAAATATTAGACTAGACTTGTCATTTCATCAAAACGTGAATGTTATTTAAAGATGACTGGAATCGTACTAAAATAATTGTTAGAATACAAAACTGAAACAAAACAAGGATGACTAACGTGGAAAATATACTCTCATGTTATTGGAGAGTATTTTTCTCTCCCACATATACATCGATTTTTGTGTTTTTATTTTTTTTATAAATAAGTGAATCCGACACATAGTTATGTTTATAGCATGAAAAAATTTCTTTCATATTATATGAGATTAATAAAGCCCCATAATATACTATTCATCTGGAACAGAATCTCTTTGTTTGCCTTTTAAACGGACAGCCAGCTGTCCTGGACCATAGAGACAGATGCGCAGATCGTCTTGAACAAAATATTAGCGTCGTTTGTGAAATCGATAAACTTCTATTCCGGTGCAAAGAAATATGCTTTAGGTGTCGTTTGTTAGAAGGAATTTTTTAGAATTACCGGGAAATTAAAAGTGATAATTTTATTTATCTACGTTTTGTACAAGATTTTTAAATTTTTTTTGAGAATCTGATTTTTTCGGTATTTTACTTTGTGTGGAATTTTTTTTTGAAAAAACCATCCAGAAATACCATCTAGTGATATTTTAGAATTTTTATCGCAAAGGAAAATTTAATACAACTAAACATAGCATCAAGAAAATTAACCCAATATTCCCGGGAATATGTCAATCTACCAAATAACTTTTTGGTAACATTCTCAGAAAACTCATTTTATCATCATATTCCTATAAATTGTGATTCCTAGATAAATTTTTTTTTTTCCTCTACCAAACACCCTAAGGGGACGTTTGGTAGAGGAGAAATTTTTTGGTGTCTGAGAATCATGATTTCTAGGAATATGATGAGAAAATAGATTACCTAGGAATATTGCAAAAAAGTTGTTTGGTATGACAAAATTTTACGAGGATTATTTGGTTAAATTTACCGAGTGTGTATTTGGTTTATGGTTTAATATTGATGGGAATGTTGGCCAAATTACAAAATAACCCTCCCCTCATCTCTCTCTCCGATATTTCCAGCATCGTATGAACCATACAAAGGAAAAGCAGGTTTTAGAGCAAATCTTTCTGTTGTTGTTTCATCAACATTTTCGCTGCATCTGCAAGCGGTGGGTTGGGTGAACAAGGCAAATAACGCACAAAATAACCATTAACCCAAAAAGAATGAAAAATAAATGAACTTCTGCAAATATGGTTCCAAACCACACATAAATCACAAAACACAAACCATGGACACAACTCAAGAAAACTCAGAGAGATCTAAGGAGGTGAGTATGTCGAAGGAGGTGAGTAGACAAGTTGTCAAAATGGAAGCGCAGACATGTCCAAAAATTCTAGACTACAATTTCTTGTTTCCGATAATTCACAAATACCACACTTTCGGAGATAATTTCAGAACGGAAACTGATCACAATTTCTTCACAACTTTATTTCCTAGGTAAATTGGATACCAAGGCAAATAATGACAAATCTCCTACCAAACATGGGTAAAGGCAATACCCACATCACTTTTCCTGGCATTTTCACAAATATACCTCTACCAAACATGCCCTAAATGTCACGGGAAAATTGAAACTAGAAGGGACATTGTCTATCTTGTAAACGCCATGGCATTCCACCAAAAAGAGGCTGTGACAGCTATATAACTTTAGGGTTTAACTTTTCTTATGTTGTAGGATTGTAGGAGAGAAAAAAGTAGAGAGAAGTTAAATGTGGGTCCCATATTTTATATTAAAAAAGAAAAGAAAAATTATTTGGCACGAAAAACGAATTTGTATAGGAAAATGAGAATATCTCATGTAGCATGAGAGTATTATTTCCCATAACTTTATAGGATAGAAACAACAAAGAGAGGTTGTACCAGACTAACAGTACTGTAATACCCTGAGAAAAAAAAATAGAAAAATTTTAATAATAAAATTAATAGTAATAAATAATAGTATAATAAACTAAGTATATCTTAGGGATGTGCAAAATAACCAAAAAATTTGGTCGACCCATGAACCGAACTGTCCCATAAAATAACCAGTTTTTAAAGAACCGGTTCATGAACCGAACCGATATTTAGAACCGGTTTAAGAACCGAACCGGTTTTTAGAATCGGTTTAATAACATAACCGAACCGAACCATTTTCAAACCGAACCAAAATAATTTTTATAACTTTATTTTTTAAATTTTTAATTTTTTTTCTTTTCAAAAGAGGGTCGACCCGAACCGGTTTCGAATCACTTCCGAACCGAACCGAACTGAACCACTTCCGAACCGAACCAATTTTGAACCGAACCGAACCACTTAAACCAATTCGATTTGGTTTTTCAAAAAATCCGGTTCGGTTCGACCCATGCACATCCTTTGTATATCTTATGTATATGGAATATGTTATTCTACCAATCATTTTTTCTGCCTACTTTTGTCTATCACTCTAAAATACCATTAGATCAGAATCTTAACTAACATTTATTTTTCTCTCTCTTCTTGAGATTCTGATCTAATGGTGTTAGAGAGTGGTAAACAAAGTACGCAGAAAAAATGATAGGTATAATAACTTATCTCTATGTATATTGAGTCTAGCATAAAGTGGTGGACATTGATTATTATTTAATTGATAATATAAACAATTATTTTGTAACGATAAGTTATATAAACTATGATAACCTAAAGAAAAATAATAGTAGTAAAATTATATTTATTCCTATGAGTATTATAATATTAAATATTTTGGATTAGGATAAGTCAGCATTATCCTAGTAATATCTTATTTAATTAAAATGAGTCAGCCACGAGTCAAAATCATCCTATGAGTCAGTTATGAGTTAACAATATCTTATAATAAGCCTATAAGAAAAGAAAAAGGAAAAAAATTCTAAGAAGAAAAAAGAAACAAATGATTATAGGAAACTAAGGAAAAATTTTCTTTAAAGAAACATTTGCAACAAAGCCCATATCTTGAGCCCAAAACTTTAACTATATATAGGGGTTTAATCTAGCCGAACCAAATCATTTGTAATCCCCACCATCTCTCCATTTCTCTTCTTCTTTAATTTCTTCTTAATTAAAATTTTATTTTATTTTTATTTTTATTTTTTGCTACCAAACTGCATTTCTTAAATCATTTTTCTTCCAAAGAAATCATTAATCACGGAGATCAGGTAATCCGGTAATCATAATCCCATCTTTAATCCTAATTCCTAGGTGATCTTTAATCCTAATCCTAGGTGATCTTATGTTAGTTTAGTATGAAAATTTTCATATGATGATCCTTAGGATGTAAATTTTAAATTTAAATTACTACACGTGATATTTACAATATTTTTGAAAACTTTATTAAAAAAATAATAGGATTATTATTTTGGGAATAAATAGAGATGATGAATAATTCACTATAATTGATTAAATGATAAATTTTTTTTTGATTATGTGCGAATAAATGTGGAAATTATGATTATGAAAACATTCCAAATATGTGATTTATTATTGAATTTGAAATTGTGATACTCTTTAATAAAACTTTCCAAATAATTGATTTATGATTGAAATTGAAATTATATGTGATTGTCACTAATTAATAGTGGAAAGATAGCTTTTGGGACGATATCTCCTAAAGCGATGACCACAATCTTTGAGCTTTATGCCTTCAATATTTATATGATGTGAAAAGATGTTATCCGTTCTTCTCAAAGTGGTAGAACCCGATGAGAGTTTTTTTGTTTTTTGGTCCATTTTTATTTATTTATATTTCTAAATTGCAAAAATAATATTTTCTATTTTTTATTATTGTTAATCAATCAAAATAAAATAAATGATTGGTAAATAAATTGCCCTACGGGAGAGTTCATATCTCTATTTAGATTTAATTCGTTACTTTTAGTATTTTGACTGCAACTTGTAAAAGTTGGTTGGAATGTTATAATCGTTCAACGATTTCATACAAAACTTTTAACCTTCAAGCGATTAAAATATTTATAAATTTGTTTAATAGAAAATGAAAAGGAAATCAAAATCAACATTTCAGCATATCGTTTTGATGATTATGATTGTGATTAGGATTTGTTTATTTCTGAATATATAATGAATTAATGGCAATTAAAACGATTTAAAACTATTGTTTAAAGAAAACTGTTATTAAGTTATTTGAAATCATTTCAGCATTTATGAGCATATTATTACATTCATGATTTAAAGTGTTCGTTTCATTTCATCATTAATGATATTATTATACTCACATTTATGATTTAAAGTTATCGTTATTAGAACCATTTCAAATATTGTTGAACTAATTATTTATGCCTCTTATTAAGAATAAGCCTTGTGTATAATGCGGAATTTATTTTTAATGCTTATTTTTCTTTTATATTAATGGCTAGTGGTGTGTGGGGCTTATTGTAATACTTGATGCATATCCTCACTGGACTTTTGGGTAGAACTTTTAAACTTATAATTGTTATTTTGACAACTTTTGGAAGTATGCAAATGGGCTCTTTCTAATAGCATGTGATATAATATACAGTAGCAATATATAATTTAAAATTTTTAATTTATGTAAAATATTTTAAATTCTTCATTTATTTTTGTTTATGCTCCTTAAATGGTAATGGCTACTTGAGAAATATATATTCTCCTACTCTTGAAATATTAGTGAGTGTCTCATGCTCCTAAAGTAGCAATGAGTTTTAATTAAAAAAAAATTATTGAATATTTGAT